CTTGATTTCCTAACTTTAATGCAGCCTGAAGAACATCTGGTTTATTCTGACTAAAAAACTCTAACCTGGCTTAAATGGAAGAAATTAGTTGCACAGATACAACTGTAGGCTAATATCTGAAAACTGGCAACTCTGCCAGTGTCTGTGAACACACACTAGAATACCAAATAAATGTAAGAAAAGATTGGTATACTAGTCTGCTAGGGCTGCCATAACAAAAAACCACTGAATAGTGGTCTTACAAACAAATATTCTTTGCTCTCACAGTACTATTTTTTTAAATTTTATTTAGTTATTTTTCAAGTACAGTTTTTTGTCTATTTCTCCCATCCCAGCCTCCCCCCCCCCCCCCCGCTCCCCACCTCCCTCCCATTTCCACCCCCCTTAGTTCTCGTCCCTGTGTCCTTCCTATTTGTTCCTCCAAATCCCTCCCCCTCTTTCCCCTTAACTTCCCTTCCTTCTCCCCTCTGGTCACTATCCCCCTGTTCTCTATTTCAGTGTCTTTGGTTTTTGGTTTTTTTTTTTCTGCTTGCTTGTTTGTTTTGTTGTTTAGCTTCCTGTTAAAGGTGAGATCATATGGTATTTGTCTTTCAGCACCTGGCCTATTTCGCTCTCACAGTTCTAGATGCTACATTCTGAGATAAAGGCTCCAGCACGCAGCCATCTTCTCACTACGGCTGCACACGGCCTTAGTGTGTGCACAGGGCAGGCCGTGGGGAGAGGGCGCACCCTGGTGTCTCTTCATGTAAGGACACCAATCCTACAGGATCGGCGTCTCACCCTCCTAAACTCCTTTAGCCTTAATTATACTCTTGGAGGCCCCGCCCATCTCAGATACAGCTGAAATGAAGGGTTAGTACTTCCACATATGAATTTGAAGAGATGTAAACATTCCATCTATAACAGTAGGCTACACTTATAATTGACATCACAGCCCTAAGACAAGAGTGAACTAAATATACTCCCTCTCAAGACAATCTGAGAATAATCATATTAAGTAGCTCAGTAAAAGACTCTTTCATGAAAAAGGCAAAAGCTAAAAAGGCAAATTTTAGTTTTATTGGCACAAAAATAATGCTGCAAGACATTATGCAGCATTCCTCTGCATAAACAGAGGAATGAAATCCTGAATCACAAAACATGAGGTTAAGTATGGGCCAAGTCACCTTGCTTCAAGAATTCCTCCAACCTAACAGTAAGGGAAGAGGCAAATCTATGCAATATTACAACAAACTCAAAAGGTCAGAGGACCTCAAAAAACACACCACAGGCAGTCAGGTATGGCCTGGGCTAAATGGAGGCAGCATGCTAAGGATCAGTGGCCTCGCTGGCTGGATGAGACGGTTGTATGGGCTCCCACAGTCCAGAACAGCAAAGCTTCTTCATGAGGGATCTTGTTCTCATTATTTTTAATCTTTCACATAGAAAAAATTTCATTAAACAGAATTATGACAAGTAGGTTCTTTAAAATTTTATTAAAGAAACTCCAGGTCAAGAGGGCAGAATAGCTAAAAACTGCTTGCCTCCTCCCACAACTACATCAAACTTATAACTAAATTATAGAACAAGCATCACTGAGAACTACTAGAAGACTAGATGAACCGAAGTCCTATATCTTAGGATATAAATATGAAGAAGCCGCACCAAAACTGGTAGGAGGGGCGGAGATGTGGAACAGGCAGGTCTCACACCCACGTGTGGTGGTTAAGAAACAGGGGGGATGTCAAGGATGCAATGGCCCCCGAGGAGTGCGGAGTCGTAACCCCACAGACTTCCCGAGCCCAGGATTCTAGTTATGGGAAGAGAATTCCTGATAACCTCTGGCTGTGAAAAACTGTGGATGCTGCGACTGAGTGAGACAGAGGGCTGCTGGGGACTTAGACACAGCAAGTCTTAAAGAGCATGTGCATGGACTTAACTCACTGATGGGCCCGCTTGAGATCCAGTGCTGGTGCAGCGGCTTGAAAAGTGCCAGGGACACATGGGGAGGAACTGAACTGACTAGCTTTCAAGCAGCTCACACCTGGAACATTAAGTGCTGGCAGACACCATTACCCCTTCGTTGAACCCCCTCCCCCAAAAGCTGGCATGCACAGCTGGGCACCAAGTCTGAGTCTCCAACAACCTTGCTTACATTGTTGGCCCACTCTGGTATTCCCAAAGGCCCTGCCCCACCCGACACTAATACCTGGCCAGAATCTCTACAAATGATTTTCCATGCACATGACCCGTCTTGGCTCATGCTAGAAACATCCTGAAAATCTCTCAGAGGCTCACAAACCCCAAATAAGCAGCAACTGGCCTCAGCATGCCCTGTACCTCTTGCTAAGCAGCCCCAAGCCCAGCACTAGTAGCTACCTGCCTCGCTTCACAGCTTAGCATCTGCCAAGTGTCCCCAAGTCCAGCGCAGGTATCAATCATCTGCAAATCACTTTGTACTCCTACCAGTGGCTCCAGGTCAGGGTATAGGCAGCAGCTGAACTTGACCTTCTCCAGAGCCCCTCACAAAAGGCCCCAGAAGCAACATACCTGGTGGCCGACTTCAGGCCACACTGGAGTACCACCCAACCAGCGCCACAAACAACACACATAGGGGCAGACTTGGCAGGCACCAGAGCCCCACTGAAGTGAGTACCATTCAGTGTGGTCGGCCCCCACACAACAGCCCCTCCACTGTAGTCACTGCCGTTCCTCACTTCAAATCAGCCTGAGGGTCAACGTACCACCTAATGATGTGCCAAAAGCAATCCTGGCTCCACTGCAACAGGAGGGCTCCCACAACCCAGAAAAGGGACCCCTCTGGCGTACCCAGCTAAGGTGACCAAAGAGACTGTGCCACTGGGCCACACAGGACACCCACTAGATAAGGCCTCTCAGCCTAGACCAGGAGATGTAGCAGCTCTACCTATTACACAGAAAAACACACAAGGAGGCAGCCAAAGTGAGGAGACAAAGAAATATGTCCCAAATCAAAGAACGGCATAAAACACTAGAAAAAGAACTAAACAAAATGGAAACCATCAATCTACCAAATGCAGAGTTCAAAACACTGGTTATAAAAATGGTTGATGAACTTACAAGAATTAATGAACTCAAAGAGAACTTTAACAAAGAGATAGGAAACAAAAATGGAGATGGAATATATTTTTTTAAAAACAGAAGTGAAGAATGCAATAACTGAAATGAATAATACATTAGAGGGAATCAGTGTGGATTAGATGAAGCAGAGGACTGAATTAAAGAGCTGGTAGACAAGGAAGCAGGACGCACCCAACTGAAACAGCAAAAACAAAAAAGTATTTTAAAAATGAGCAGTGTGAGGGCCCTCTGCTAACAACATTCACATCATAAGGGTATGAGAAGGAGAAGAGAGAGAGCAAGGGACTGAAAACCTAATTGTACAAATAATGATGGAAAACTTCCCTAACCAGGAGAAGGAAAGATAGATACACAAATCCAGGAAGCACAGAGAGTCCCAAACAAGAGGAACCCAAAGAGGCCCACAGCAAGACACATCATAATTAAAATGCCAAAGGTTAAAGACAAAGAGAGAATCTTAAAAGTAAAGCAGTTACGTACAAGGGTACTCCCATACACTGTCAAGCTGATTCCTCAACAGAAATTCTTTAGGCCAGAAGAGAATGGCATGAAAAATTCCAAATCACAGAATGGCATGAAAATTCCAAATCCTAATCATGTAGGCAAGGGCCTACTATCAAGATTACTGCACCCAGCCAGGCTCTCACTTAGAACAGGGTAGATTAAAAGCTTCCCAGACGAGAGAACGCTGAAGGAGTTCGCCACCACACCAGAATAACAGGAGCCCACTCTTGACCTTTACTAACTTTTTGGTATTAATCTACCTTATGGTGATATAATTCATACACTGTAAAAGTCGGCCTTTTAAAATGTGGTATTTTTCCAGAGGTACGGTCACACATATGCGCAACCAACACCACCATATAATTCAGGAACGTTTTCATCACCCCAAAAAGAAATCCCATAGCTATCAGCAGTCACTTCCCAATCTGGTTTTCCCCCAGACCCTGGAAACCACCAATACACTTCCTATTGCTATGGATTTACCTGATCTGGACATTTTATATAAATGGAATCATACAATAGGTGGCCTTTTGTGCCTGGTTTTCATCTGGTATGGTGTTTTCGAAGTCCATTCGTGCCCACTTTTTTAAAAAAGCATTTTTAATGAAGAAACTAAATAAAAAACTAGGCAGAGCAGCAGGAACCTCTATGTACCCATCATCCAGCCTCTTCAACACTCAACCCATCCACACACCATGTACTGCACCTTTTTTTTTTGAATCAAATTCCAGACGCTACATTGTTTCTGTATAAGTATTTCCATAAGGACATATCATAACAGCTACTCTAACACTAGCCCCTGATTTGCATCTACCTTCTGATTTTAATGGCCTATCTCTACGAAGAACTGAATTTTCCTTTGCTGGGCATTATTTACTTAGGACATACACTGTATTCGCATACCTGTTCTGCCTAATAAAACTACTGAAGGGAAAAATGGAAATAGAGTCATGAACCAAAATCTCAGAAAACTTTCTCCAGAGGCCAAGGTTCCAAGCGATTTAAAATTTGATAAACACCTCAACGTTTCACTTCCCCTGACAGTCAGAAACACTCATATGGAGGTTGTTTACTTTTTGGTTTTCCTTTGTCATTCCGGGAAAGGACTAGAGGTTATTACAAGGGTGTTTTGCTTTTGTTTTCAGCATGCACCAATTACAATCCAGAAAGCACTTGATATATGAGCCTATATGAGGACTAAATACAATGTAATTTCACACAAAAAAGAGAGTGTATGAACCCAACAGAAAGAATGTAGGGTTTTTTAAATCTTCGTTTTAGCAAAGGTAGCCAAACAGCAGATATTCACTATTATAAGGCGAAAGGAAAATAAAGAGGAAAGAGAAGAAGAAAGCAGTGAGGGTATGGACAGAGGAATGCATATTCAATTATCTTACCTTTTTGTGAGCAATCAGGAGGCAATTGGAATGTTCGTGTTCACAAGCAATTTCATAGTCAGGGAGCAGAGCCACCAATTCGCGGACAAAGCGTACCACTTCCTCATGCCAGGGCACGTTGGCCATGGTGAGGCTGCTTGCTGAACTCTCTCCGCAGTAGGTAACACCCTGTGGAGACATCATAATAGTTAGAGACAATTACTGAAATGTCACAGAGAAAGTTTCTGAGCCAAAAAGCCTTTTAGAGGTTATCCAATCCAATCCCATTTGTATTTTAAAGTGAAGAAAGTGACACAAAGATGATAATATTTTCTTGGGCGCTAATACAAGTGGACAGTGACAAAGACAGCACTGGGGCCCCCCGGCCGATGTTCCTTTCACTCTGTGACAACGCCACTGCGTGGGCACCTGTGCTTCTTTCATGTCACAGTCTCTGCTGTCTAGTCATGGGATGTATTTGAACCAGTGACATAGCTTTCTATTTAGATTCATTTGGGCATTGTAATGGATTAATTCTCAGGGAAGTATAGTCCCCTAGTATAATAATTCAGGCATAGCTGACACCCATAAAAATTCACTGAACAATCAATTCGCTGGGAAAATGAATTCAGTTACCATTCCTTAGTATAGTTTAATTTGAGGTTGGTGAAATTTGTGTGAAAGGCTGGATAGGGATCCCATTATTACTCTTTATTTTTAAAGCCATCACTTTGTCACGCATTTTGCATGTGGATCTATGCACACACGAACACAGAATCATGCCAAACAGGAAGCACTTCTGTGGACACCCACACAGACACTGAAGCACCACCTACGTATGCACATGTGCTTCTCAACTTTACGGAAATCCTTGTGCTCGGAGTGAACTTTGGTTCTGCGTCGAACTGTACTTGACAGCCCAGGCACAGAAAACCCAAGTTTTATAATTAAGTTCTCTACTTGGTAGATCACATCAAGCTAATAATTAATTTTCTAATAATAATGGATATCTTCACTTCGTAGGCTCTTCAGATCCCCAGAATCAAGTTTTTCTAACTTTCCTAACAAATGGTTAGAATACTCCAGATACGCCCCTAGTAAGTAAGGAATACTGAAATGGAAACTGCACATCACTCACATACACTGTCTGTCTGTCTGTCTCACTGATTCTCTCTTTCACACACAGACCCGCACAGACACACAACATACAAGAGGGGGAAGAATGACATTAAGTGAAAAACCCACAAATGAACACTGCAGAGTGACCTTGACCCTACAGATGGCAGAGCTGGGCCATGGCCAAAAACTCAGATGAGTTCTGCAAAACACTCTATTCCAGATGGCTGTTTGAAAAGATGGCTGGTGTACCAAACTGAGGTGACCTCTGCTGAACACAAACCTCAAGTGACCCAGCTCGGTTATGATAAACAAGAGAATCTTCTCTGTTAGTCCAATAATTTATTGAATTCATTAAACAGAGAGTCTGAGTTCTTGATTAATTTAAAAAGCAAATAATAGTTTTAAAAATCTTTTAAGAAAGCATGGCTGAAAAACTGCCAAACGTATCCAAATGTATTTTAAAAAAAACATGACTTATTAATAGACCAAGTTGGTCATAAAAATAAACTTGACTTCAATTTGAATACTGTTCATGATGTATGAATTATATGAACAACCATGTATGAAGTAGTTACTTCAAAGAAATTTATTTTTAATATTTAAAAAGTTAGTTCATTGAGGCAGAGGTTTTAGATAAGATCTTTCATGACAATGGGTTTAAAAAGTATTTTAATATTTCTTATTCGGCAACAATAAATCATGATGGTGTTGGGAGAACTAGACAGCTACGTGCAAAAAAATGAAACTTGAGCACCAACTTACACCATACACCAAAATAAATTCAAGGTGGATAAAAGACTTAAATATAAGCCGTGACACCATTAAAGTCCTAGAGGAGAACATTGGCAAGAAAATCTCAGATATTCCACGCAGCAACATTTTTACGGATATGTCCCCTAGAGCAAGGAATATAAAGGAAAGAATAAATAAATGGGATCTCATCAAAATAAAAAGCTTCTGCATGGCTAAAGAAAACAGTATTAAATTAAAAAGACAACCAACTGTATGGGAAAACATATTTGTCAATGATACCTCAGACAAAGGTTTAATCTCCAAAATATACAAAGAACTCACACGACTCCACTCTAGGAAGACATCGAACCCAATTAAAAAATGGGAAAAGGACTTGAACAGACACTTCTCTAAAGAGGACATACAGAATATCCAGAGACACATGAAGAGATGCTCAATATCGTTAGCTATCAGAGAGATGCAAATTAAAACCACAATGAGATACCACTTTACACCAGTCAGGATGGCTATAATAGACAAAGCAACAAACAACAAATGTTGGAGAGGGTGTGGGGAAAAGGGGACCTTAATTCACTGTTGGTGGGATTGCAGACTGGTACAACCATTATGGAAAACAGTATGGAATTTTCTCAGAAAAATAAAAATTGACCTGCCTTTTGACCCAGCAATTCCACTGCTAGGATTATACCCCAAGAATCCTAAAACATCAATTTCAAAGAACCTATGCACCACAATGTTCATAGCAGCACAACTTACAATAGCCAAGAGTTGGAAGCAACCTAGGTGCCCATCAGTAAACGAATGGATCAAAAAATTGTGGTACATATACACCATGGAATTCTATGCAGCAGAGAGAAAGAAGGAGCTACTACCTTTTGCAACAACATGGATGGAACTGGAAAGCATTATGCTGAGTGAAATAGGCCAGGCATTGAAGGACAAATACCATATGATCTCACCTTTGACAGGAAGCTAAAGAATAAAACAAACAAGCAAACAGAATAAAAACAAAGACACTGAAATAGAGAACAAGTGGGCAGCGACCAGAGGGGAGAGGGAAGGGAACTTAAGGGGAAAAAGGGGGAGGGATTTTGAGGAACAAGTATGAAACACACAGAGATGAGGACTGGGGGGGGGAATGGGAGGGAGGGGGGAGACTGGGCGGGGGGGTGGGGTGGGATGGGAGAAATAGATAAAAAAAATGTACTTGAAAAGTAACTAAATAAAATTTAATATTAAAAAAAACAATAAATCATGAAACATTAAGGAGAGATTTGGCTTGGAAATTAAATTAAAGAATGAATGCCAAAGTTCACTGTACTTTTTCCATACATTCACATGATGCTTTTTAAAAAATCTGTATTTTAATTATTTTCAACTTTTTTTCTTTTATTGATTCTAGACAGAAGGGAAAGGAGGGAGAAAAAGAGAGAGAGAAACACTGATGGTTAGAAACATCAGTTACTTCTTGCACACACCCCAACCAGGTAGGAGACCCACAACCCCGGCATCTGCCCTGACCAGGAATCAAACCGGTGACCCTTCAGTTTGCAGGACAGCACCCCACCAACTGAGCCACAGTGGCCAGGGCTCGCACCATGCTTTATAACACTTTCCAAAGCACTTTCCCATAAAAGCTCTCATTTTAACCGAACAAAATCTTTTGAGGCAGGCAGGACGCCGTAACTGGCTGAGCCGTCCCCAGAGCCTGAGCCTTCGCCGTGACGGAAATGCTCCGGGCAGAAACCGATTTCAGTGAATCCGTTTGTGGAGTCCCTTCTGGGAACCCCTGAGCCCCAACTCCGTCTGGTTCCTAATGCCCTCACTCTAAGGTGCTCTCTCCTTTGCTGTGGCTGCTTTACTTCTTCCAATACTCTAGTCTCCCAATGACTTGTCTTGACTTTATTCCTGGTCACACTTAACTCTGAATTGTCTAAACACTTCATTTTCTCTCACAGCATGGCTGTCTACCACCTGCTCACCTCACCAGCACCCCACACACCTCCCCATTTATCACCAGCATCACGTTCTTCCCTCACAACTCTGAAAAAAGAACCACCTCAAGAAAACAGATGGGCATAATGTGGCAACTGAATAGCGGTCGCAGACTCCAGAATCTGTAGGTTGAGGAGTAACAAGGAGACCCAAAGAAAGATCCTACAGAACAGGACCACTTGTTCGTCTTGGGGTCTGGAGTGAATAGCGTAACCCACACCGTTACTCTGTGCCTTTCTGCCGGATCTCTGCTGTAGGAGATGGGAGCCATACAGTCATTTTTTTACTGGCTGCTTAGAAAGTTTACCTGGGGAGCCTAGGTCTGTGGGTCTTTTGGCGGCTTGCTATTCCAATTAAACTGACCAGGTGTCTAAAGACTCCTGATACTGTTTCTGTTCCCTACTGTCAACATAAGAAACTCTCAAATGTAGAGAATTTCTATGAGTTTATTTCAGCCAAACTGACAGTTGGCAATTGCCAGGAAGCAAAACCTCAACAAGTTGAGAAAATGCTCTGGAGAATGGCACTTTAGCACCTTATTTTATACATTACAATCAAAAGTGGAGGTGTAAGGGGGTTACATTAAATCCACTGGTGATAGATTAAGGAGGCGTGAGGAAGCAAAGCAGGGAAACCTCTGGGATTGGATAAAAAGTAAACAGACACTAACTTTTACACAGGTGGGTCCAGGATAGTTCACAGTCAACAATTAACATGATAACAGTAACAATGAAGGGATTTGTGGCAACCTCTGGTGCAGGGCCTGTGCTTTGAAGGGTTTGGAGGAAAAAGGAAAGTGGATATTCTATTCTAAAGGAATGTTATCATTGATGCAAAAAGACAACAGACAGGTTCAGTTAAGGTAAAGACTGACTTTTGTTAGGGAAAAATACCAGCCTAGGACATAAACAACTACCATGATCTGCTTTTAGTTAGAAAGTTTTCATTTCAAACCATCCCGTGGTTACTTTAGGTCTCTGAGTGTTTGTAAGGCCGCCACACAGGCCTCCCCCTGAGTTTCTCAGGTTGAGTATGTGGCCCCTTTTCTTCCTCACTACGGTCTGATGAAAAAAGAAATGTCTTTATGATATTGTGCAGCAATATACATCAAATGTGTCATTTGAAAATCCTGAATATGCTTCAACAGCTCCCCCGACAGACAACAGCCCGAGCTTCTCAGCGTGGCTTCAAGGCCTTCTTACTGGACCATCTCACTCTGCATCCAGGTTCTACTTGGCCAAATTCCCCATCACCTCCTCAATCTCCAGTCGGGAACCCCGACCGCACGCGACCTCCATATCATCACACCTTGTGCACATCCT